AATACCCATAGACTCCAAGATATGTCCAAGGTATAGTCCTTGACAAAGATATTTCTGGTTGGGCTTTCCCAAATGCTTTGAGATGGAATTGAAAAAGTGTGCAGCCCAGTTTACCTTAGTTTTGGTAATGAGAGCGTTGATGATGAAGGCTCTCTCCTGGGTGATGTCATCGGCATGACCTCCACTCCCACATTCGAGGTAGGCGATGACTAGTTCCAAAATCAACTTGTAATCGTTGTTCAGATCTACTTTCTTTGCTGGGCCAGAAGGAGTTCGCCCAGAAATTCCAATGATGTTCCAGTCCAGATTTTTGACTGGAAATTTCCCAACTTCAACTCCAGAATTGGGAAGGCGAAGCCTTCTTCCCAATTTCTTCTGCAAAAGCTTCACCTTTGAGCCTCCAACAGTGGACTTGATGACTGGAAATGTGCTCTGTGGATTTTTCTTTGACTGAGCAGATTTGATTTCTCCATTTCTGTAGAATTCAAGAACTTCTTCCTCGAATTTGAGGCGAATCTCCATTTGAAGAAATTCGGAGAGTTCTTGAGCGGCTATCATCTGCACATAGTTTTGGAAGAATGTTGGAGATGAGCACTTGGCTTCTAACTTCTGAAAGTGGACATTTGCACCGACAACCTTCATTTTCTCAGAAATTTGGGTGAAAATTTGAGAAATAAAGGCTTAGGGTTCTTGCAGATTTTTGAGAATTTTTCGCGAAGAAGATGACGAAGAATTTTTGAGTGGGCGGTTGAGATCTGAATAGTGGAGATTGGGATTTAATGTGGGCGATTTATGCGGCTAGTGGCGATACTGTTCCCAAGGCCACGTTCCCACCCATCATTTTGACAGACGTGGAAAGTGAACTACCACGTGCACTACATTCAGTCTAATTGAATTAGACCAATTTTGTGAAGCAAATCGGAAAACTTGGCTTCACTTAGTGGTTTGGTGAAGATATCCGCCAGTTGTTCTTCAGTTGAGATATACTCAATTTTGATATCTTTCTTTTCCACATGATCTCTGATGAAGTGATGCTTGACATCAATGTGCTTAGTGCGAGAAT